GGCTGTATCCCCTTGTACTGTGATCTGAAATTAATTCTTCATTCCTTAACTTACTCCTTGTTAGAAATCTGATCACAGGCATGGGGGAACTAGTATTACTTTATTAAATTTCCCATAGTTCCTAGTTGTTTTCAGACTGTTACTTTGAGCTTTATATACCCTCACTCATACTATCGACCTGACTATTTTCTTTTTTTAAATTTATTTATTTTTTTATTATTAAAAATTTCCACCTCCTCCCCTCCTCTCACTTCCCTCCCCAACATCACTATTTTCTATCCTTTCCCAATATTCAATAACTTTCTTTCTCAATCAGTTTGCATTGACTAACTTCTCAGTGAATCCAGCAGGTACTTTTGACCACAGTAGGAATGCTTTTTATTTTATTGTTAGTGTGTTTATTATTCATACAAGTGGGCCTATTAAAAATGTTTTTACTGGATCTAGAGAATGGGATGACCTAGAAGGCAAGAGTGAAAAATACATTTGATATATGGAATGATGGTGACCTGTGTCAAATACCAATAGCTAGTCAAGGAAGATAGGAATGTGGCTGACCATGAGATATACCAACAGCTATTTCAACTGTGCTCAGACATGTAGTGAGAAAATACATTTGAGACATCTAGGGGTAACTTCTAATATAAGAGCCATCTGAAAATATACAAACGACTTGCCAAAAGCTGGCAAAACTCTTGACAATATCCAGAGAAGGAAAAACACACAAGATAAACAGAGGAACAAAAATAAGCACCTTTCACCAGAGTTATACAAGCTAAAGGACTATCACGTGTCTTTCAGGTGTCAAAGATTCTGTGTCCAGTAAAATTAATATTCAAATTTAAAGGTAAAAGTAGTATAGTCTACTCAAATCCATACAAAATTGGAGACATTCTTGTAGGATCTGTGTTAAATGGACATTCATGCCTTTCAGTGGAGAAAAAAGAGCTGCGTGCCAAAATGAATCTACGAGAGTGCTATGAACAGCGAGAGTACAAATAAACACAAAACATTCCCTCTTTCAACGTTTCCTCAGACCCTTTGTTCTGTGAACTGAAATTGGAGCAAAGTAGAATCTAGGAAACTAGAAAGTGGTCTTTGGGGAACATGCTAAGGGAAGAGGTGGTATATTATAAAGTCGGGAGGTGGGACTCTGGGGGTGCAAAGGCTTAAACAGGGAGGAGAGTAGGGTTATAGAGGGAACAGGAGCTGGGCAGGGGGTCGACGAACCCAAAGAAGGAAGTGTGAAAAGCTGCATAGAAGCTACTATCTCACAAGTCAACTTAAAATAGATAAATAAATAAATGGAAAGAGAGTAGACACTGTGAGCTGAAGAAGAGGGAGAAGTGCAGAGGGTAAAAGGTCAAGCTGGACCAGGGAATGGAGGAGCAAATGGGGCATTAATCAAAACTAAGGCTCCATGGGTAAACGTTATGGAAATCCACTAATTAGGAAGCTAATTTCAAAACACAACTTTAAAATTAGTTTCAATGGACTTACTCTGCATGGGTGCAAAACACTACATTCTTCAGATAGGAGATATTAAGTGAAAATCACAATGCAAGGTATGGGATACTTCCCTAGAATTTTTTGGTCAGTGAGTCCCCACAGGTCTCTGAAACCGCATAGGCCATTGCTTTGCTTTGGTTACATGCCATAGCTACGTGATAAAAACCCTGTGGCTGAAGGCATCACATACTCTGGCTGCAGAATATAGAGGAATCGATCTCAACCAAGCAGGAAACCTCCTCTCCACTGGTTAGCTTTCACAGTGCCAGAAGGTACGACACAGGCCACGAGGGAAAAGAGTAGCCACAGTCTTGCTGAGTGCTGGGCCCTAACGCTACCATACTGCCCCACCAAGCAAAGTGTTCTCTTGGTAGAGGCAATGAATGTTGTGGAGCAACTAACAGCATTCTGAAAGAACTCGAGACCTGCTCCGTGGGGGCATTTGGGAAGCCATAGACCCCAGGATAGAACCTGCGACTGCTTTGTTAAGTGACCATGCTGTTGAATTGCCTTCTACATATTTATGGTTATTTCCACAGACAGGCTGCTCTCGGTTTGGGTCAAAGCTGCATCTTTCTGAAGTGAGTGGCAGTCGGTGGAGGGTTGCGTAAGGGGACAAGGTGCTGGGAAGAAGACATTGTGTGCTCAGCCCTAAACAGCAAATCAATGTCAACCTCCCTGAAGCCAACACTCGGCTAATTCATGTCTCGGACAAGGAGGCAGGAAGAATAAAGAGCCAAAGGATGGGGAGACACGCCGTGAATCTATCTCCTATACATGACACCCTACACTTCTACCATAATAGCAGTCTCAAGGGTCTTAGAACAATGACAGACCTCTTGTTTTGAAATTACATGATTTTTCCCCTGTTTTTCTTGTATGCTGAATTTGGGGACACATCTTTCATCTTCTGATCAGCATCTACTAAAGCTACCCCCAAATAATTTTTAGGTCCCCTGATTCACTGCCTTAGAAACTTAGCTTGAGACTTAGGAGAAAAACACAAAACACTGAAAGATGTTACAAATGTAACTTAAATCTAAGCTCAATAAATAAATGACAGGCCGCCTGGACTCATCCAGCTCTTGAAAATAGCCTGGACAACTTTACCACAGAACAAAGTCAATACTGGTGTGTCATTTTGGGAGAAAGAACACTGGATCCAAGCTAATTATGTGACCTTGAATAAGCTACTTAACATCAGGACCCGAGGGTCCTGGGGGACATCCTCCTCTCCCTGATTAGCTCCAAGGACTACTTACAGGATAAAATGAGATCATGTACGAGAAAACACTTCTGGGAGGAGGGAAGGACACACAGCTCTCTGCAAGGGATAGGTGTTATTTCAAAGTCCTGCTTGGGTCTGGGAAATATCAATCTTCTGCATGTTACCAGCCCGCTAGTGAGGGAGCCTGTGGAGTTTTTCAAGAGGCCTGCAGGATCCAAGTTAGGCAGCTCAGGCTGAAGAGCCAGAGAGGGGAATTCTTGATCAGCATCTGCTTGTGATTAAGACTCAGAGGCGTGAGCCTGGACTTCGTGAGGGCAGCGCTAGTTACAGAATTCTTCGTAGCAGCAGATCCATCCTTTTAAAGTGGATATGAAAGGTAAACATGAAACTACAATTCTGCAGTTTCAAGACACGGAGAGGGGGGAGAGAAAGGAGAAGAGAAGAGAGAGAGAAACACGAGGCAGAAGCCAATGTGAAGGAAAAGTCCCTCCACAATAACCACCACCACATTAAGCTCACAAGAGCTTGCCTGTGCTCTGCTAACTGCTAAGCATATCTGCAGAGTGGGCCTCCCTGGCTCCCACTCTTCCACTCTTAACATGCTCCTCCTTTAAAGTTCAAGTTTGGTCAGTTTGGATCCCTGGCAAAAAAAAAAAAAAGCATAGCAATAACAATCAATCAGAACAAAACAAAACAAAACAATTTACCAAAATTCACTATTCGTTTGATCTGTGCCGAAGCTCTGACCATAAGCAAAGCAAGTGTGCTTGTTCTAACTCTGAAGTCATCTTCGACCTTGAGCACAGACTGAAGAACAGCAACCTGGAGGTGTCCAAGTGGGTTAGATGAGCAAGGAGTCCTGGGAAAGACTGGAGAGGAGCTGGGACGCGACTGGCGGGGTCTCCATGGGCTGTTTCATGACATTGTGCGGTTTCCGTCGTACAGGGGGAGCGCAACTTGTCCTTGGGGTAAAAGCCTTAGGGAACATCTGTTTCAAACATATAAGAGGCAGCCGGACTCGACACCGAAGGTAGATGAGACTTTGCTAAGCAGAATATAAATTTCATTTGAAGGTACATGGGTGAAAAAACATAATGTCCTGCACCAGGAGGAAAGCCTGGGTTTTATGGGGAACATTTAGAGGCTATCCAAAGAGTCAGCTATGGGAACAGGCTGGCTGAGTTAAGCTCCATCCTTCTAGAAGCACTGGAATCGAATGGAGGGAGACCTGTGACTGTGTTCAAGGCCATGGAGCAAACGGTAAAAATAGAGGCGAAACCTTCTGTATGCTAGAGAGATTTAAGGATGGCCTTGTGCGAGAGAGGGGCTCCAGCTGGCAGAACGCTGGGCCTGTGCAACCAGCCTCTGGCCAAAGGAAAAGCTTCAGGCATTTCTGTTTGGTTAGATGAGCGATTGCATTCCATTAGAAAATAATCACCTTGTAAAATAAGTCACCACGAGCCGTTCCATCTAGCTTCCAGAAACTAGGTCTTTGGGGAAGCCAACAGACTAAGATTATAATGGCCGTGAGAGGGACTTAGTAAGGAACTAAGTTCTAGGTCCCAACTTTGCCAGGTTCGCGCTATGGTGGGATTTTAGAGGGGACATTTATCTTATGGAAGCCTGCAAGGTATAAATGGGGAGAAAGAAAGACGATCTCTAGGGCCTCTTCCAGTTGTCGCAGGGTCTATTATTTCAGTTAAGCATAGAAAATAACTGAAGAAGTCTGGAAGGCTATACATCAAAACGTTACCAGAGGGTCCCTCCAGGGAGGAGGATTTGGGCTGGGGCTTGCACAATTGGAAAGAAAACCATCAGAGAACATTTCCAGTAAGGAAAAATACAGAGGGAGAAGCAATTTTTTCAAATGAGCCATTAAGCCAGGAAAAGTTCCAGTAAGATATAAAGTAATAAAGTATAGAAGTTCAGCTATCAAAAGGCTGCTTGTAGTTGGAGTCAATGGAGGGCTTTGGAGGAGCCAGTGACGGTGATCTGGCTTCCCCACTTTTGCCCTTGCCCTGTTGGGCAGCCCAGGGCACAGCCATGAGAAAGTATTCCATTCCATCTAAATCCTGACCCTTCAGGGACCCTCCCTCCTTGCCCAGTAACAGAGGAATGGAAGTGCAGTTACCCAGAGACCCATCTCTCTTGATTACGAAAAGAAGTACAAGCTGAGTGTTTCATCTACCCAGCCCCCCAGGTTTCCACCGCTGTGGTGGAGCTGTCCCGTTTCATCCTCACCAGCCACATCACCTTGGAGCACTTTGATTGTGCCTTAATGGTAGACAATGAGGCCATCTATGGCATCTGTCGTAGAAACCTTGATATTGAGTGCCCCACCTACACTAACCTTGTTGACAGAAGTTTCCTGTCCCGCCTAATGCCGCAGCTGTTCAGTCCCAAAGAAACACACAGAGGTCTACATTAATCATAAACTGGTTGGCCTAGTAGCTCAGACTTCTTATTAATTAATTCTTACATATTACATTAACCCATTATTCTTGTCTCTGTTAGCCACGGCTTGGTACCGTTTTTGGCGAGGCAGTCACATCTTGTTTGCTCTGTGTCTGACTTCCTCTGAGTCTGGGTGGCTACTGCACACAGAAACTTCCCTCTTCCCAGAATTCTCATTGTCCCACCTCTACTTCCTGCCTGGCTATTAGTCAATCAGTGTTTAGATAGGGTACAGACCATTGTCTCACAACATAACCTTAACCACCTTATTAGCCAGATCGTGTCCTCCATCCCTGCTTCCCTCAGATTTGATGGAGCCATGAATGTTGACCTGACAGAATTCCAGACCAACCTGGTGCCCTACCCTCACCTCCACTTCCCTCTGGCCACATATGCCCCTGTCATCTCTGCTGAGAAAGCCTACCATAAGCAGTTTTCTGTAGCAGAGCTCACCAATGCCTGCTTTGAGCCAGCCAGCCAAATGATGAAATGTGACCCTCGCCATGGTAAATACATGGCTTGCTACCTGATGTCCCATGGTGGTGTGGGTCCCAAAGATGTCAATGCTGCCATTGCTACCATCAAGACGAAGCGTACTATCCAGTTTGTGGACTGGTGCCCCACTGGCTTCAAAGGTGGCATTAATTACCAGCCTCCCACTGTGGTACCTGGTGGAGACCTGGCCAAAGACCAGAGAGCTGTGTGCAAGCTGAGCAACACCACAGCCATCGCTGAGGCCTGGGCTCGCCTAGATCACAAGTTTGATCTCATGTATGTCAAGCATGCCTATTTGCACTGGTATGTGGGTGAGGACATGGAGGAGGGGGAGTTCTCTGAGGCCCGTGAAGACATGGCTGCCCTAGAGAAGGATTATGAGGAGGTTGGTGTGGATTCTGTTGAAGGAGAGGGTGAGGAAGAAGGAGAGGAATACTGATCTGTTCTTCCAGCCCCCGCTCAAGACAAACTCCCAGAACTTCAGCTTCGACGTTAGCTGACAATCACTGATGCTTCGTGTTAACATGATTCTGTGATCATGTCTCTTCCATGTGCCCCTGTGTGGTTTATTTCCATCATGTCTCAAAGTAAAAGCTTTAAGACAAAGGAATAAAGAGTCAAGTATGGTCACACACGACTGTAATTCCAGCCAGAGAGGTGAGGCAGGAAAACGGGGAGCTTGAGGCCCTCCTGGGCTACAGAGAAAGACCTTGTATTAAAAACTAAATAAAGAAGTACAAAAATAAGCAGACAAACTAAACAAGGAAACGTTCAGATTGACAAGATCAGCCAGAACCTGGGCAAGCAATCATGGTTTTGCTAAGCTGGAAGCACAAAGAGTGAAGGTAAGCACAGAAATGTGAAACATCCTCTTGCCTCCCTGGTACGTGAGCGTTGATCTTAAATCAGTTCCCTGCCAGACTTTACTTCTTATCTTTTGGTTAAGGAATTATGATTACCCCACAAATATCATGTGGGTGCAGGAGCGTGGTAATGACAACCGAGTAAGCTTTTATGACATATTGCAGATGGACAATTCTCACGCTCTACACACACACACACACACACACACACACACACACACACATCACCACCACCACATCCCCACCCCACACACCCACCTCACACACACCCACACCCCACACCCACACCTCCCCCCCACATCCCCCCCACACCCACACACACACCTCCCCCACACATCCCCCCCACACCCCACACACACATCCCCCCACATCCCCCCCCACACCCACACACACACCACACACACACACACACACACACACATTCCCACACACCTACCCCACACACCCCACATTTAAAACACAAAAAGTCTTCACACCCCAACACCTCCCAACCCCCCCCCACCACACACACACTCCCACACACCACACACACACACACACTACACACCACATTTAAAACACACACAAAAAAATCTTAAAAACAAAATAAAAGGCCTAGATAGAGAAGACTTCTGGACGTTTTGTTCTTGATAAAGAAAAAGGGCATAAGAGTGAGATTTCTACTTGGGTAAACTTTTTCCTGTTTGTTTGGTTTTTTTTTTTTTGAGACAATATTTCTCTGTGTAGCTCTAGCTGTCCAGGAACTTGCTGTACAGACCAGGCTGGCCTCAAACTCAGAGATCCACCTGCCTCTGCCTCCCAAGTGCTGGGGTTAAAGGCGTGCACCACCACCAGCGTGGGTCTACTTTTAAACCAGTTGAAAATGGTTTCGTCTGGAGATGTAGCTCCATGCTAGGACAGTTGCCTACCAGGCAGCAGGTCCTGTGAGGAAGAAACGCATAAGGGAGAGGTTCATAAAACTCCATGCATATATGTATCTGGTGCAAACACTGTCTCCAGTCAATGAAAAACAATTCACTGGGAACAGTGCATCTCTACCGGAAGTAAGGGTGGTACCAGTAACACCGTTTTGCAAGGTCTAACTGTTTGTAAAGAACCCAAGAAGCATGGAAAAGGATGGCTGAACAAGTAGGATAAGATGTCCACATGGATAGCATGTCCACGACCTACTTGAATTAACTATGCCTCTTTTATAATGTGATATCTCATTGCCCCAACAGGGAGACAAGAATATAATCAAGGTCAGCTTTCTGCTCCATGCCAATACCAGCTCTTTCCACACGCTTGCCGGACAAAGGGCAACGTGGTTTACAAGCATTAACTCTGTGGCTTAGCACACGCAGCATTTACAAGTTCAAGCAGTTCCGATAGCACTAAAGGGGAGATGCCACAAATCACACATGGCTGAACATTGTCCTTCTCTGACTTGCTGTTCCCTTTCACAGAGACACCAAACCCACAGAAGCAGAAAGAAATGAGCGGGTTTTGATTAACCATGGCCTTTTCCTAGAGCTGAATTATTTGTTCTCAGAAATTTAAACCACTTCATTTTGCCCAAATAGGCCAAGAAGTTCACAGGTAGAGCGAGCCAGAGTCTGGTTTGGTTCTGGGAGCCAAAACACGAGTCTACCCATTTGAGCTGACTAGACAAATAGACAAAAGAAATACTAAATTTATAAATGTGCGTGCGTGTGTACGTGCTGGGCCACGCACTCTCGCACATGCGAACACGGGGTTGACAGAAAGAATGAGTATTTTCACTGGCTTCTTTTCCACTTGGCTCTTCTCTACCATTGGAAATATCTGCAGTGCTAGATCCTAACGGACTTTGTCTACCTCATTTCGTGAGAAGCAGAAGCAGAAGTCGTAGAACACTTGGCTGTGTCCACGGCCTTTCAGGGGTTCTCTGCCCCTCACCTCAAAGCCTCCTTTTTCCACACTCAAATATGATCCAAGATTCGGTGTGGTATGGGACGTAAAGGGGGAAGTTATTATTCAATTAGTCGGTAAGTCATCAGCCTTCCAAATATTTACAATGAACTTCTCTAGGCACCGTGGCACATGGGAGCCAATAAGCAAGCACAGCAGAATGTATAAGGTTTTACGTTCTAAGGTCAGGATAAAACAGTTGTTAGTAGGAGAACAGCCTTTTCAAAGAGAAGAATACGTGTGTGTGTGCGCGCGCGCGCGCGCGCGCGTGTGTGTGTGTGTGTGTGTGTGTGTGTGTGTGTGTGTGTGTAGATCTAGGGGGTGCATAAATACAGATCTAGGGATTTTCTTTCTGGATACTACACAGAAGTGTTTTGCACATGGATTTGGACAGAACAGTGACGTGGGTGGCCTCCCCTTTCCTGCTTTCATTCTGATTAAGGCTCATTTTGCCTACGATCACTATGGCTCAGTGCCTCTTCACTCAGCTGTGCACGGCGGGCTTTGCGAACTCTTCTCCCCCCAGCCCCCACTCTCCCGAATCTACAGCTGTCCAACATGACCGCTTCAACACTGATTTTGGCTAGAGCCGTAGGTGCTGGTGGATCACTAGCAGGCAGGGTTCTGGGCTGGCTACAGGCTCTAGACCTGACTGAGTTTGACAGCTGTGTGGAATCCTGGTTCTGGTACCTCGGTATTAAGAGACTGAACTTGGCTTCTGTCTATCTCAGTGTCTCTTAGGTCAGATAAGATAAGAAAGGGTAGCAGCTTAAGCCCTACTCCACTAACCTACGGTGCCGTGGTATTTGCCTCAGTGCTATTTTACATGGCACAAATAAAGAAAAATGGGGCTGAGAATAGGGCTCAGTGAGTAAAGTACTTGTGTACAAGCATGAGACCCTGAGTGGAGGATCCAAGGCAGTGGAGGCACCTGAGGGGGACCCGGGTTTCTTGTCACACTCAGGTTTACAAATCTTGAAAGTTACTGTAGAATTGCATAGTCACAGGGACTGGAGCCATGGCTTTAGGTCAGCAGTTCTCAACCTTCTTGATGCTGCAACCCTCTAACAGAGTCCTCCATGTTGTGGTGACCCATTGTGGAAAATTACTTGAACTAAGCAAAGATGTATTACATTTTTTTTCTACCCGTGTAAAGGTGTGTTCCTTTGGCTCGTGCTGCGCTTGCTTAACAACGTAAGGATGTGTGTTTAATTGTGTAAGGATGTGCTGCACCTGTTTCGCCTTGCCTGCCTAAGGCACCTGATTGGTCAGTCAGTAGGTAGATGAAGGAAAGCAGGGGCTGGCAGGCAGAGAGAATAAGTCGGAGGGGGAAAGTCGGCTCCGGGAGAGAAAGGGAAGAACAAGCGACACACCTGGGACAAGAAGCTAGGCAGATGCCTGACAGACAGACAGACAGACAGAGAAGCAGTGAAAGTCAGATATACAGAACTGAGAAAGATAAAAGGCCCCAAGGCAAAAGGTAGATAAAAATAAACAGGTTAATTTAAGTTAAAAGATCTAGCCAGAAAGGAGCCTAAGCTAGGCTGAGCATTCAAAACTAATAATAAGTCTCCATGTTATGATTTGGGAGCTGGTTGGTGGCCCAAAAGAAAAGACCTGGTAGAGACCCACAAACCTGAAACCATGTTCATTAATACTTCATAACCGTAATTTTGCTAGTTAGGACTCAGACTATAAATACCTGTTATGCAGGATGTCTGATGTATGAAGCCCGACCCACAGGTTTAGAACCGCTGGCTTCATGGATTAAAACGCTTGCAGGGGAGGCCTGGCAACCTGAAACCAATCCCTGGAACCTACCCAAAGCTGGAAAGAGAAAAATGACCACAGAAAGCTCACTCTGGTCTCCACATGCCCAGAGGCTATGGTATACCACTGCCCTCTCTCCCCCTCTCCCCCACCACAGAATAGTAGTAATAAAATTTAAAATTTTAGCAACTTTTGTCATAATTCCACAACTTTTCCTTTATACGCTTATAATTTGATTAAGATACAGAATATACCAAATGCATACAAGTACACACACAATTCGCTTTCTTATGTACTTTAAAACTGAAAGGTACTTTTATTTATGGCTATTCCAGCTTCATTTCACCTGTGATCCTCAAAGCACAAAGACAAACCAATAAAGAATGTTACTTCACCACCAGAAAACAATTATGGTCTAGAAGAGTGACTTATAAAGATTATCTGAGCAAGACTGTGAATGTCATAAAAGATCCTGTGTTTAGAAACCCAATTCTGTTACCTTCACATTAAATTCAACCCAGAAAATCGGATGGCCCTCATCCAAGAGCTGGATGCGATACACACAGCAAAAGGAATTCACAGAAATACGCTGCAAAATCCCATTCCTTGGTCGTTCCCCAGTTTAGTCTGCAGCCTCACGTGTTGTTTATGCCAGCATGCCTGTCTGCCTGCTAAGCCGTACGCTAACTCCACTGATGACTGGGCCACCAGCGCCACGGTTGCATAACCCATCAAAGTTTTCATCCCAGCCTCGCCAAAAATGTCGACTGTATCTATTTACCAAGGAGCCGTTTTCAGGGAGCCCACACTTTGTACTTTTTATACGAGCAGTAGACTGTGATCTTGGTTGGTTAATGGTCTTGATTAAAATCCTTTATAGACATTGGCC